AGTAATTATTTAACTACAACAATTATAAAAAAAGTGACTATTAAAACAAATTAAACTATATAATTGGTTAATTTAAGCTAAATTGCTTTGAATACCGCATCAAGTACAACATAAAAATTTTTATAACGATTTATTCAAAAATGAAGTGCTTCCTAAAAAACATCTTCGCTAATTTATATCTTGACAAATAATATTTTTAATGAATCTCTCACAAAAAGTATTATTAAAAGTAATATTTCTGATCATTTCCTTGTTTTTTTTCTATGATAATAGAACTACATGAAATACCAAGTTACAAAAAAATCTTTTTTAGATGCATTTAAAACAAATCAAGTTTATCACCGTTTGGGGAGCAACTGTCATTGCTTTATTTAAAAACTTAAAAGATTTAAAAACTGCAGATGTCCCTTAAAAATCATCATTGCCTCCAAATTAGTAAAATTTATCCTTTACTAGAAAAATCAAGGTTTAACTTTTCATCTATTGAACCTCACCTCTTGAAAAGTTCACCAGTCCTACATTCTTTTTGTAAGACTAACTTAAATTTGGCTATTATTTGTTTGGATCTAACTTAAATTTGGCTATTATTTGTACCATTAAAACTCACCTATTTTTTATGAAGTTTGAATCCTCTGATTTTTTTTTTATTTAGAACCTTTTTATTCAATCAGCTTCTTTTTGTTCTTTATTGTTCTTCTTGTTCCCGTGACTGAATTCTTTTTTTAAACCCTATCTTTTTATTTCTCAGCAATTATTGTTATATATTTAGCCATTATTGCTATATTGTTGTTGTTAATGACTTTGATGCTATTACACTTTGTAATTTTCTTGCTCGAAACAAAACTTCTTTTCTTTCAAAAAATTGGTATTTTGGTTTATCCTCCTCCGGGTAATTGCCATATAGGGGCTACCCGCAAAGACAGGTTCGGCTCCCCAAGGAGCGTTATAACCCACTCTACGGACCAAGAGTAAAGTGAGTTTAGGAAGAACGAAGATATGTTAGAGTGAAAGGCAGAAGTAGTCGTTTTAGAAAGATAGCATAGAGAAAGCGGACAGGATTGCACTCGATGTTAGGAGGTGCAATAGGTTGAAATAGGTTCTTTCCAAAAATTTATTTATTAACCTGAATTTAACTCATCTTACAAAAGTTTCTACCCACAAAATCAACATTACAAAAACCGCTTAATACATAACTACAATTAAAATAATTAAAAACTAATAGTAAAAGAAACCACGCACTTTATTTACACACTTAATAGGTTGGGCTAAAATATAACAATATAAAAAACTTAAAATCAAAATTCAATATAAAAAAGCTTATTTTTAAAGAATAATACGATTGAAAATAATTTTTAAAGAATAATTTATTTGATTCTCATTAGTTTTAACTTTTAATATTTTAATTTTTTTATAAAACTGAAATTTTTAAAAATTGTGTTGTTAAATGTCAAATAACTGAAAAGAACTCATAAAGTTAATTGGATAACTTTTTTTTTTTAAATAAATATTATAAATTGCCAAAAGAATAAAAACAAAATATAAACTACTTTTATGATAATTAATTTTTTTATACTTTCATTTAAAAACAAGAATTTAAAATCTATGTCATCTTGAAGGTTAGATGTGGGGGGTTTATTGTAAACTGACACTAAATTCACCTGGAGAATGTGAATTTAGTGTCAGTTACTTAGTTACAGTGTGACGTAATAAAAAGCTATTAAAATCGAAGTTCTTAATGAGATTTAGTAAATTTTTTGTTTACACGTATTTTTCAAGAATTCAGGAGAATCAGCATCAACTACAAAAATGACGTTTCTTTAACTTAAATATAACAAATGAAAGTAAAAACTTAAATAAGTTTTTTATCCACTTATCATAAATTATCAGAAAAGATTTAGTAGCATTTACGTCATAAGAAAATTACTTGTGGTAATTGCTCACACATTCCCATTTTATGGAAATACCAAATAGTGGTAGTATAATCATATACATTTATACATATATTAGATTAAACAGTCGCGTCCTCGATAATTTAATTATTTTGATAATAAAATTTTATATTACTGCATAAAGTATATATTTGTTATTAGTATATAAAAGTATATTATATATTTTTTTTTATGTAATGATTGAGAAAGAAAATAAATATCTTATAGTTGTTATTCAGTATAAATTGTCTGTAAAAAAACTTTTTATAAATCCATTTATGATGGATAATCAAAAGTGTTTAGAAGCAAATCAAAGCAATAAAAAAGTAGTAAGACAACAACCGAGTTAAATGTGAAAATTGAAAAAAAATTGAAACAGTTGAAAAAAATTGAACTCTGAAAAAAAGCTTGTTCTTACCTAACAAATTTTTAAACAAACCAAAAACGATGCGACTGAGACGACTTTAATAGTAAGAACAAATACATAAGTGAAAAGGGATAACATTTTATGCCTCAAAACAAGATCAGTTAAAGAATGAAGTAATTATAAAAAAAAGAAAAACCTGAACGTCAAACTTAAACCAGAATAAAAAGAAAAATAGAGACTTTAGATCTAAATATTAAAAAAATGTTATGTAGAATTTAAAATGTATACTAATAGGTCAACTGATAGTCTACAATTAGGGAATTTTTTTTCAAAAAGGAGTAAATATTGCCATAAAAGGATCTGCATTTGATAATAGAAGAAAAAATTGTATATTATTGAACAGTAAAAACATTAAATGACTTGCTTGAAGAGTTTAACAAGCATGGTTACAACTTAGATCAGAAGTTTTCTTATGATTGCATTAAACAAACCATTTATTACAGAAGGAAAAAGGCATATTCAAACTGCACCCGTTAGATTATTATGAACACAAAATCCTGAGCATAAATTTTATGCAGACACAAAATTTTCCAAACTTAACATCGGTAATCTTGGAGTACTTGCAGCAGTCTTTGGTCCTGAAGAAAACCTATTTCATTCCCATGATGATAAAACCAGTTTTCCCTATCAAACACGAGTCATTATAGCTGCATTCCGTCTACTCTGGTATCTTTTCTTCATTGCTTCATACAAACTTGGTCTGAAAAATTTCAAGTGTCAATGCAGTTAATGCAGCTTTATTGTCATTTTTCATTTCATATCTCTGTGAGCTGTACAAACTTTTCACAAACTTTTTGTAGTTACCGCTCTTATTGGTGCCAAAAAAACTGTGAACAATGTCTAATTACAATCCATGCTTCTTTTTAAACATTTTGACCACCAGCTACTCAAATGCCAACATAATTTAAATTATTGTATACGGAATCTATAGACAAAACTCTATCTACAGTGTGATCCAATAAATCTTGCAGTTCCATATATTTTGCATGTGTGTTTGTAATTTCTATTGCAGAAGATGGTGGATAGCAAGTTTGTTTAATTTCTTGTAACTTGTAATACGGTGGGAATAAGGAACAGTTTTTTTCGTCTGTCAACTTTCTCAAGTATAAATATTGTGCTTTAGTTAAAACTAACTCAACAAACACGCTGAGTGCTTCTTCATCTGTCAGTAAAACGTTTGTGTTTTCCATAAAACTGGAGAAAGAGACCTTTTTTTATTTTTCGGCAATCCTTAATGCTTCCACAATCTTTGCTTCTGTTTCTTCTCCAATTGAACGTAATGCCTGAAAATATACATTAAAGATATGCTCGAATCCAATTTCCTTAACTAGTTTGGAATTTTTTCTTTTTTTACTGGTCTCTGCCATAAGACATGCCCAGTCTTCCAGTCTCCCCATTCTCCCACAATCTCCATAAGACATGCCCAGTCTTCCACGTTTTTCAAATGATGTAGATGGCGTGGGGTCTGTTATTGCTTTTTTCGATTTTAGTAAAAATACACTATATTCCGAATCTAACCAATTACTATTGTTAGATAAAAAAGCGTCCACTTTCCGTGACGCCTTGGTCCATTGTTTATTAAACGACGGAATAATGTTTACTAACAATGAAACACAAACTATCCTGAGAAAATTGATAATTTTCTTAGAAAATTATTGATAGTGTCTCAGTTGTTCTTCCTCTATCAATATAGGAAAGTAAAAGTTGACGTTTCGAACACTTAAAAGCTGTCATTTTAAAAAGTATTTAATTTCCACTGTGAATTGGTTGCAGTTATAAATATTTTAACTCTTTATATAATATTTTTTAAATGACGCAGTGTTCACATATTTGCTGATAAAGTTTTCACCACAAAATGCAACTTTTGAGTGTATGCCCATCAAAATTAATTCTTAATAAAAATCGGACAAAAAAACTTTTGTTATAAACAGATAGTAATGAAACCACGATAAAAAGCGGTTTTTTGTTTTCTGACTTTTTTTACTTTTTTATCTATAACCTTATAAACCGCACGTATTCGCACCTGATTTTTAATAAATCATTTTTATAGACACCTAAGCTACTAATTAATTATAAAAATAAAACGTCGGGAAGCGTCGGTTACTGCCAAAATTATCAGTGAACTTTAAATTTTTTTTTTTTTTTTCTTTCTTACTTTATAGTTCAATTAATTATTTGTAAACAAAACCATATAATTAAAAAAATGAATTTGTTCGAAAATCTCCATAACATGATGCTTTCAAAAATATATAAAACTTTATACTTATTCATAAAAAGTTTTATAGAAAATAACTTTTAAAGTTATGAAGCAAATAAGTTTAAATTGAAAATTTTCAAAAATATGATCTTTTAACAAAAAATTAGGTAAAATTCCTACATTATAGTAAAGATTGACTATTAAACTATTAAAAAATATATATATAAAATTTCAGTAGTGAAATTGAAATTTGAACAAAAAACATTTATGGTACGATTTCGTAGTATTATTCTCCACTGTGCGTCGCGAAAAAATATTTCAAAAAAGTTATACCTGAAGGATACCATCCACCTGCATAACTTGTGTAATTAAAAAACTTTTTCTCAGAATAGTTTATACAATGTGAACAACTTGTACAAAAAAGTTATATATATATATATATATATACCTCCTGCTGCATTTCCTCTGCAATATACGTTTCCGTTGTATACTTCAATTATAATTATACTTTTTTCAAAGTTTGTTGCTAAAATTACACCTTCTGACATAGTCTTAAATTGCGTGAGAATTTTTATTTCTCCTTCTAAATTTTTATTTCCTTTAAATGTCACATAGCTTTTACCATCAAAATATATAGTAGGATGCTCTGTTGAGAAACAATTGTCAAAAGGGAATTATTAAATATCTAAAAACAATTTTACAAAAACTTGTATTTTCATTAAAATAGAGATTTACCAGTTTCACATGCAATTCCCTTGAACCCGGTTCCAAAACAGTCACAAACTACATGATCATAATAGTTGATACATCTACCTCCGTTATAACAAGATTGAATTAAACAAGCATTTACACAACCTTCTTGTATTAAATTAGATACCTTAAATAACAGACTTTCACTTTGAGGTATGTCAATGCAGCCAATGAAGCTAAAAAACGTAAAATCATTAATTAACAGTAATTAACATGATTAACATTTTTAAACTTAAAGCTATTTGATGAAAAAAATAAATAAATTACCTGTTACCTTGGAATATGTCTTCAACAACATTTGTGCCAAAATGTATGGACTCCCATTTAGAAAAAATCTTCTTTTTTTTATTTGCAATCAATACAGTTTGGTTGTTAAGTTCTAATTTTAAAGCTGTATTTAACTGAAATAGCTTTATAATGTACCATCTCCTTATTTTTATTACAAAGTCAGTTAAACCAGGAATGTTATAATGTTGATCTTCAACAATGATATTAAATTTTCCATTTGATATTTTAATTTGTAGTCTTTGTGCACTGAGTTTGTCATAAACTGACAATACATTGCCATCTTTTCCACTACTTGACAGTCTAAAATAAAACGCCTCATTGTTTTCATTCCAGTTTGTATTGATAAATATAGCCGATGAATTTTTGTTAATAAATGTAAATTTGTTGTTGTTTTTCAAAACTCTGTTGGAAGTCACATTTTTAATAAAAAAACATATAAATGCAGCTACAAACTTTCTTTTGAAAATAAAGTACAAAATCATAATTGATTACAATACTTAAATTTATCTTATAAATATAGTTAAAATTGTAATGTTACAAGTAGCATTAAGTCTTCGTAAATCTCGTCGTAGTTATATGAAAAGTTATTTTCCAAACCTGTTTTAAATTGGTTACAAATACTCAATTTCTTTTTAACATGTGTTGTTTGTTTTTAAGCACGTCGCACTTCTTTGCGGTAAAATATATATATATATATATATATATGCACGGTATAAACATATACTTATTGTTTGTAAGTTCTGCAAAGAATAAACATTGAATTTACTATATATGCATATGAGGGTCATTCATGTTCTAGTTTTGATTCAGTATTTCACTTTTCTAATGTATTTATATAGCCTATTTATATTTTTTATATAGCCTATTTATATTTTTTATATAGCCTATTTATATTTTTTATATAGCCTATTTATATTTTTTATATAGCCTATTTATATTTTTTATATAGCCTATTTATATTTTTTATATAGCCTTTTTATATTTTTTGATGAAACAACAGCTCTTGCTACCGAAAAAACATTTTTCTTTTCTGAAAATGTTTTTTCCCTAAATGTTGACTATTTATGTTACAAGTGCATATAATGACTATTTATAATATTGAATAATCCTATCTTTTATTATAATAGAATGTTTTTTTTGTTTTTTAAATATTATTTTGTGTATAAGTGCTAGATAATATTAAAGTTTACCTTATAAATAGGATGGTAGCTATTATAGATTTATTTTCATATTATTTTCTTATTATTCCGGTTTTTTTATTTTTCAGATTCATAGTATATTCTAAATACAAAAAATAACATTATTAGATAGTAAGAAAACCTGAAAATTCATTAACACTAAGCTGAGCGAATATTTCGTAGGTCCTAGAGTGTTTCTCCAAACTGAATTTCCAAAATTACGCAATTGTTTGTAGCGATGCACAGTGGGCTAATTTTCAAAAAAGCTGGCCAAAAGTCAAAAAAAAAATCACTATTTTAAATTTATTATTTTGAAACTACATAAACAAAGCCCTGTTGCATTTTATTGTATAAGAAAAAATTGTATAAATTTTAAAGCTACCTATATCTACGCAGTTAAACATCTGTTATTAAAAACACTTAATTGGCGTTTTAAAAACAAAAAAAAAAATGTGGTTAAATAAGTATCGTTTACAAAAAAGTTATTTATCGTTACTAAAAAACTAACTATGGACGATACTATTCAAGGTATTTATATAATATTTTAGTAAAAAGTTTTATATTATTTCTTTAAATTTTATGCGAAAAGTGCGAACAAAAAAGTACAGAATAAAGCTTATTTATTTTCTTTAACCTATTTTTCAAGCATTGAAAAAGTAGTGAACCCGCGAGATTCCGCTTAGTTATAATTTGGATGTTGTTCATAAAAGTGTATTCTAAAGATTGGTTAAAAGAAAAGGCACCTATTTTTGCCTATTACTTCATTAACTTATATTGTGTAGTGCTAGTCGTGTTTTTTTAGTAAACAAAATGGCGGTGTTTTGTTTTCTTTACAAAATCAGTCAAATTGTAGATATAGTTATTATGTTTCTTGAGAAACTGATTTTGTTAAGATAAAACTACAATAAAATTAGTAGCACACATGAACGATGATTTTTGTATAGTTTTATTGAATTTTACAAAATCAGTTTCTCAAAAAACATAACTATATTTATATACAATCATATGATTAACAGTATATTTTACCTTTCTCTTATATATCGAATTTATATAATATAATATATTATCGATTACTTTTTATTTTATATTTAATTAGTTTATTAAAGTTATAATAAATTTTATGATTTTTTTCAATTATTATATTTTCAATTAATATCTAAGGTTCACAAAAAGATCATTTGCAAATTCCTCGAATTTAAGTTTTTGAAATTTTAAAAAACGAGTTATCTTCAGATCTAGACGACCAGTTTGATATTTTGCAATCACAGTTGTGTCTAAAAAGAAAAATTTGTTTCCAATTTTCAACAGATGATGAAAAGAAACTAAAAAATGTATGGACAAAATTAAAAATAAAATGGAAAAGTAGTAACCGAACAATAAAAATATTTTTGAAGAGACATGACACTTGGTTAAAAGCCTCAACAAGTATTTGTGTAAGCTATTTAATGCTTATCTCTATTAAAGTTTTAAATTTTTTTATATTTACTAAACATTTAAATAATTTCAGATTGTTCAAGCACGAAACAAAGAGAAAAAAAGCCATAGTGCAATGGGTCGACCACCTTTGAATTTTGATGGAGCAAGTGAGCGAACGAAACGGCGAAAAACAGAGGAAATGCGTTCGACATTTAGTTCATCCGAGTTAGCATTTGCTTCTCAGATGAGTCTTCGGGCTTCAGGAGCATGCAATGTCGGAGTTACAGATAAAGATTTACCTTCCACCATTCAACACCGAGTCGCAAATTATATAAAGAGCCCTAAATTGTCCCAAATTTCACAAACATCTGAACTATGTACTGAAACAGCTCTTTCCATACTAATGGAAGCAAAGCTTTCTAAACACCAATATTGCATTATAAGAAGTGCTGCAATTGCGAATAGCTCTTCTTTTTTACCACCTTACGAAAAACTTAAAGAAGCCAAGAAAATGTGTTACCCTGAAGATATAACGGTAACTGAAATAAGCGCCGAAGTAAAACTGCAATCTTTATTAAATCACACTTGTTTACGAATTATAAAAACTCAACAAGATGTAATTGACTCCTTGAATGTAAATATTTTATCAAATTTTATTTTAATTTTTAAGTGGGGGTTTGATGGCAGTTCCGGTCATAGCGAATATAAACAGAGATTTGCCGATGGAAGATACTCAGATGCAAATGTTTTTCTGACTTCACTTGCACCATTACAACTTTTGTGTACAAATTCAGTTTTAGATCAAGATGTTATTCTATGTAAAAATAGGACACCCAGATCTACTCGATTTTGCCGACCTATCAGACTGCAATTTCTTCACGAAAATGTCCATACAACCATTAATGAAAAAGACTATATCGAAGATAAAATTAAATCACTGGTTTCTCTCATCATTGTTCAACATAAAATAGAAATTAAAATACATTATAAATTGGTTATGACAATGATTGATGGAAAAGTTTGCAATGCAATAACATTGACGAAATTAACAATGCGGTGTTATTTGTGTTCTGCTACTTCGAGTCAATTCAATAATATCAATTTCGTTGAAGAATTAAACGTTGACGAATCAAAATTGGAATACGGTTTATCAACGTTGCACGCATGGATTCGCTTTTTTGAATGTTTTTTGCATCTTGGGTATAAACTTGGAATAAAAAAATGGCAAGCACGTTCTGACATTTAAAAAAGTATAATATTAAAACAAAAAAGCTCAAAGATTTTTTAAAAACTCACAAGCGTCTGCTGATATTCTAGGAGTGGATTTAGAACTAATAAATCGGTTTCATGTAATTTTACAGGTATTATCTAGTGGCTTTCCTATAGACGCAGACAAACTTGATAACTATTCTACCGAAACTGCACTACTTTTTGTTGAAAAGTATCCTTGGTACAACATGCCTACAACAGTACACAAAGTACTTATTCATGGAGCCTTAAAAACAAAAACAGCAATACTACCCATAGAACAACTATCTGAGGATGCACAGGAATCGAGAAACAAAGACTTAAAAAAATATCGCGAAGATTTCTCTAGGAAAAATTCCAGAAAAAATACAATGCATGACGTTTTTTGCACACTTCTGGTTTCGTCAGATCCTGCAATATCTTCACTTTTAAAATCTCATGCAAAAGTTAGCAAATCTTTGTCTTCTCAAGCTTTACAAATGTTATTACTTCCGGAGATTAACGAAAACTCTGAAACTCATTCGTCTGTGATTGAGTTTATCAACAATATTTCAATAATAAATGGTTCAGATGACAGTGGTGATTTATTTTAAAGTAATATAAATGAAACAATTATGATAAATGATGCAAATAAAAGTTTTCCTTGAACAATTAAATAAGTAGAATAAATAATGAATTTTTCAACTTATTTTTCTTAACATTGCGGCATAATAATACGGTCATAATACATTATATATCGGTATTATATATAATGTTTATATATGTAATGTAAATAATACATTAGTCGGCGTCCTATGATTCAACCGAATCCCTAATTTCAATTTAGAACCGAATATGAGAAATTTATTACACAACCAAAAATATTTACGAAAAAAATTAGAACCGAAAAAATTTCGATCGAAAGTCATTAATGATTTTAGAACCGAATTTCATTAGAATGGTTTACAACCGAAAGTTACACTGTTATCAAACATTGTATATTTTAGAAAACGATGAGGGAAAACGAAGAATAATGAATGAAAAGATTGCTGACCCATACCAAACCCTCAGTCGATGCAGCAGCACTCCACTGCGAGTCAGGCTATTTGTCAGTCGATGTATGTACTGAAGCCCCCAGCAGCAGGCTATTCGACGTTAGGTGAAAAAGAAAGGATTTTGTAATTCGATCCAAATTTTTTCGGTTGTAAAAGTATACTTTTCGGTTCTAAAATTTTCGGTTGTGAAATATTCAGGTGATATTTTCGAGGATAAATATTTTCGGCTTTATCATGTGACACGCATTATCTATTGAACTTAAATGTCGAATTAGAACTAATTGGTTAAACACGAAGGCCCAAAGGCATTTCTAATGATTAATGTTTTTTAAAACACCGCCATTTTGGATCTGCCATTATTGAATTTTAGTACACTTATGTAAAATTCAAAGTTGGGGATTCAAAAAAATGCAGAAATTTTCCATTAATTATAATCAGTTTTTGACTTTTGGCCAGGTTTTTTGAAATTCCGCCCACTGTGCGATGTCTTGAAAAAATTACTAGTTTATGAAAAAAAAGTCACGTGGCCAATTCCATAGTTCAGTGACGCATCATGCGGAGAGATTTTTTTTAATAAAAACTTCTCTATAACTCAAAAATAACTCTATAAGTTAAAAAAAAATTAATCTTGAATTAAAATTTTATAATATAAATTAAACACAATTATATAAACATAACACTGACACATAGCAAAAATTAAAAATGAGT